AAGCCGCTCCAACCAATGAGAAAAATATCCTAAAAAATATAATGGTCAAAAGAAAACCCAAAAATTCAGATCATAAAAAATGAGAACCATAACACACACACATATAACTTTTTGCAAAAGCGATAAGGTGAGTCAATGAAAAAATTTGATCTCACAATATGATATAATATTTATAAATTAGTATCTTAGTAATATAACAAAAGTAAATAAGAAAAAATTAGCCTAAGGTATGATGGATAGGGGATTTAAAAGACGAGAGAGATAAATTGAAATTCCATAGTTAAACAAGAGTAAACATTGGAAACTATGATAGTTATAAAAGGCTTATGAGAGTCAAGACATAGACTATTTACTTACTGATAAGGAGACTTGATACTAGATTGATGTGTTTTATAGGACAATTAAATCGTTAGGAAAATAAAAATAAATAAATCATTTGGAAAATAAGAATCTTTTGGGGGTAAGACTATTAAATCATTTAGAAAATGAAATTTTCCTTCAAAAAATTCACAAGACATTTCATTTGAGTGTTGCTATTTGTCATTGTTGCTATGATATCATTGATTCCCAATGTTCAATGAGATTTATTCAGACCTCATCTTGTATAGGATTTGGTTGAAACTCTTTTGATGTTAGATTTCAAGAAAATGATGCTCACTCAGGGATAACACAAGGACTACTTTTGGCTGAGATGCACTGAAGCCTAAAAGGGGAAATTATCTTCTGCTTATTTTTTAGAAAGATCTACAACTTATGAGAGAATAAGAGATAATGATGTTTTTTTTTCTTTTCTAGAGGGGGTTTTTGTAAAAAATGAGAAATTGAAGATATAATTTTCTTTTACAAAATTTTAAAAAAAAAATTGTGTTTTTTATATAAAAATTCTAGAAGTTTTATGGTCATTAAAAACTAGTTAACTGTAGTGATCACTTGTGTTTAGCACATGTTGATTTGGGTTCTCATCGCGTACATGTTTGCGCCAACTGTTGCAAGCCCTCACATGCTCTTACTGATTACCATCAGTTTGAACAAGACACGATTAATTCATCTACTTCAACCAACCAACCTGAATACTACTAATAACATCCTCATCTATATCACCATCACTTTGAACAAGAGACCCGATCAATGCACCCTCCCACTTCGACGAACCAACATGAATTCTACTAATAACATCTCATTCTACATCAACATCGATTTGAACAAGACCTGATTAATTCCTCCACTTCAAATAACCAACTTGAATTCTAATAATAACATTCTCATAAATATCACCTTAATGTATTTACACGCCTAGCACCTATACTTCAGTTCTTATATATATATATATATATATATATACACACACACCACATTACCTATACAATTAGATTTTCATCCATACCACTCAGTACTTATGTATATAGATACCAAACACCTAAGCATCAATTTTTGTGAAGATTATCATTCATTCGACTCTATTCATGTGTACATATGTACCTAACTCCTAAACTTAACTCACTATCAAGCCCTCAAGACTTATGGGTAAACCCAACACAGATATTTTTGTTTCATTTTTTTATGACTTTCCTACACTAAGATATGGTTTCTTATGGACAATATTAAATCAAAATTTCTTATTTTAACTTAACCATTTAACAAGAGAAATAAAACAAAAGAAAGGAGAAGACCGACCCACTTCCAAAACTAGCAAAGCTAAGGGGGAAAACAGCAAGTGAATCGGCCTAAAAGCATTTAAATTCTTTCAACAACTGCAACTAAATCGACCCTCGAGAAAAGTGTTTAAATCTATTCCAATGTAGTATTTTGATCGACCCGAAAATTCTCCAATTCAACATAAAAAAATGAAGCCCAAAAACCACCAAATAAACTCAAAAGCGCAGCCCAAAAGCCACGAAACAGAATAAAAAAGTGCAGCCCACAAGCCACCAAGCGGACCCAAAAAGTGCAGCCTACAACACTTTTTAAATAGCCCAAACTACAATTTTAAATGCTCCAAACAGCACCTTTAAAGCGCCCAAATAGCACTTTTAAAACTCCCCAAACAGTCATTTTAAAACTCCTCAAACAACCATTTTAAAACTCCAAATAGCAATTTAAATGCCCCAAATAAAGCCTCCAAAATCAGCAATTTATATTGTCCAATCGGTAAAAAAATTGGGGCAAAACAGTATGAATGACAAGCTAGAACAACATCTCAATCTTTCTTAGAAACAACAATAATAAGTGCAAACAAAATATAGCTTCTTTGTTGTATTAAATGACTACTTTACTGAGGCAAACAATTTTGTCATAAAGAAGCACCGTCTTTTTTTTTTTTTTAAACAACCGTGGAGAAAAAATTCAGCGAAAAAATTCAGCGAAAAAATGCATTTCAAGCCACAATAATTTTGTCGTACATTTCATCAAACAATTCACGAGCTAACTTAATATCTGTAAACTTCATAAACATATTCATCAACAAATTCCTCAGCTTCAAATAGAATCCATTCTCCATCAAGTAACAATATTCCATACAGATCAGGGATGATTTCACACAAGCTTTTAGCTATGGCGGTAGAGTATGGTGTCTAAATTTTGAAGATTAAGGAAAATATTTCATAATTAAATTTAACAGAAGTCTATCAAGATTTGGAGAAAACAAATTTAAACTAAGAAAGATTTCAATACCCAAGTACAAAATGAACATCCCATGGCAGATTTCGAAAATTCTATGCATTGAACAGTGAGCCCAATTAATTTAATATGAAAACGTTTACGGAATGTGAAAGCCAATAATTGCAAAGTAAATGGAGATTATGAGCTAATCACAAGCATCTTAGAATAGTTACCATGAATAATAAAATTGATTAACAGTGTTTTCCGCCGGGAGAGGAAGCTGAGGGCTGAGAGAGGGGGAGTCGAATCTGTCGAGAGAGAAAGAGGGAACTTTGGTGCGGAGGGGAAAAGTAGAGTGAGGGCTTCGGTGCAGAGGCGGGATCGAGCGCTGGTGTTCGGTCGCCAGCGAGACAGGAGCCGAATGCCAGGAAGGAAGAAGGCGCCCGTAATATTCAAAGTGTACGTTACGCGGGAATGTCATAAATGCTCATTTAAAAATTTGAACGTTCAAATTACTAATTACGTTATTGACTCCACCTAGTTATTAATAACTGACCCCTGTTCAGCCCGAATCGGACCTGGGCTGGCTCAAAAATGCTTTGAATTTAATTTTTTTTCGAATTTTGGGGTCGTGATGGACCATTTCTAAAATTAATTTTGGTTTAATTGAATGTGCAATGTGTGTGAGTGTCAGTGACGTGAATTGTTACGTTTATGCTCGTTGAGTGTGCGAATTTTGGTGTTTGCGCAGCCGAGCCTCGAAGGGTTCGCCTAAGGCCTCCTGATCCTATAAGAACTCACTTTAAAAAAATGGGTTTGAAGTTCTATGTGATATGAGTTCCAATACTAGTCATCTAGGATGGTCAATAAAAAACTCCTAAAGCTAGACCATATGAAAATGAGGTCAACAATATCATTTATTTAGCTTATCCTCCTTTAAATGAAAAGTTCAAGAAAAATATGCTTGAACTTGATTGCAACTTCAAGTCTACCTTTCGATACGTTTAAACATGGCAGTATAATACCAATAGTAAAATAATTAAATACAATGCATCGCCACTAAGTTGTCAAAATAGCTCGTTGTTTGTGAAAAACTCGTCTCTGGCTTGTTAAATAATTCTTGTTCGAATCGTTTGTTAAGCGAGCCGAACACCAATAATTTTTTTTAAGCTTGAATTATGAAAGAGTCGAACACGATCGAACAAACATTTATTTGATCTTACTCGGCTCATTTCAGCTTGAAAAATTATATATATATATAATTTATATAACAATATATTATACATATTAATATCTAAATGTAAAACGCCACATCTTATGTGTTCAAGCGGTTTTGTGTCTTTTTATTACATATGAATGGTGCAGGTTGAGTACAACACTTTACATTTTTCTCTAATTAGTTTAAATTAGTCAAGTTCGAGACAAACATGAACAAGAATATGTAAACTGAGCGAACACAAACACATTCACGAGTATTTCCGAATGCAAACCAATTTCGAACTAAATTAATTTAAAACGAGTCAAACACAAGTCAAGCATGCGATTGCACAAGCTCTTGGCTCATTTACAAGCCTAATAGACATGACTAGAGCAGTCATTGTTTTGAAATTTTAGTTTGGAATAATAAAATATCTAAACTAGAATTTATTAAAGTCATATTGATAAATCAAATAGATCAATACTTGCAATATTATACTGTCCAGAGTTTGTGGTCACATCAAATGGTTAAATTTTTATATAAGATAAAATTGATTGTTTCTAGTTGAAGAACTTAAGTATATAAATTTACTAAAAAAAAATAATACACTAAATAAAAAAATAAAATAAAATGAAACAAATTAAATTACCTTAAATCTCAGCTTGATATAGATATATATAATGACTTAAAAATGTTTGGTTTATTTATAATAGTTGTCAAATAATAATTCATATTATGTTATATGCTTAGCCTTTTAATTGTGTGAATTTTATTGACAAGATATTTAAGACACTAACATTGTACACATGCACATATTTTTATTACCCCATGCATTAACAATTATCGTAAATTTAACATGAACATATCTATGATTCTTTTATATTTGAAAAAGGTTATGATTTTACCCAAATATAATTCAAGAACTATATGAACATAATTCAACGAAATTTTAATGGGGGTCGAATTATGTTTACATGGTGCAGAATAGGTCTGAAATGTATTCAAATACCGGGTTTTGGTTCATGTAGATACAATAGAGTGCATTCGAGTTAAAATAATGATATAGATAGATATAATTGCAACTTGGTTTTTTTAGCTCGACATAGATAGATATAATGGCTTAAAATGTTTGGTTTATTTATAATAATTGTCAAATAATATGATCTATTATTTTATATGTCTAGCATTATAACTGAGTGAATTTCATTGAAAAGATATTCAAGGCACACACATTGTGCAGTTGCACAATTTTTTGTTACTGCATGCATTAACAACAATTATCATGTATTTAACATGAACTTATCTATGTCTCTTTTAGAATTTGAAAATGGTTACGATTTTACCTGAATAAAATTCAATAATTATTTGAACATAACTTAAACAAAAATTTAATGGGGGTCGAACTATGTTTACATAATGCGAAATATGTCTAAAATGTATTCAAATACAGGGTTTTGGTTCATGTAGATACAATAGAGTGCATTCGAGTTAGAATAATGATATAGATAGACATAATTACAAGTTTTTTTTTTTATAGCTTGATATAGATAGATATAATGGCTTAAAATCTTTGGTTTACATATAATAATTATCAAATAATAGTACATATTATTTTATATGCCTATCATTTTAATTGTGTGAATTGCATTGAAAAGATATTCAAGACAAACATTGTACGCATGCACAATTTTTTGTTACTCTATACATTAACAACAATTATCATATATTTAACATGAACTTATCTATGATTATTTTATAATTTGAAAAGGGTTACGATTTTACTCGAATATAATTCAAGAACTATTTGAACATAATTGAAACAAAATTTTAATGGGGGTCGAACTTTGTTTGCATAGCGCGAAATATGTCTAGAAAGTATTCAAATACAGAGCTTTGGTTCATGTAGCTACAATAGAGTGCATTCGAGTTAATGAAACAATAGCTGATATAGTAGTTTATCAAAGAATGTGAAACAAAATAGCCTATGACAACATAAAACCATTACAACAATTATGGCACAACTGTTTACAGCAAAATCCTATAACATATAACAGTAATACAATAACAAATTACATCACTCCATAACTAATAAATATTCTTACAATAATATAGTCATTGGTAGATGCATGCAATCTTGATCATATTGTTAAAGTTCTCTTCAATTCTTGTTATCATTATGTTATATCAATTTTGAAGAAATAAAGCGCGACCCGACCACTCAAAGTCAGCATTTCTTCAATTGATAAGTAGTTATCGGAAAAAGTCACACATCTCTTACCACATTATTGTAATGTGTATTTACAAGTAACTTACCCATGTATGAGTAGGGCTGTCAAAACGGCTCGTTGTTCTCGAACACGTCATGTTCTGATC